TTAACAGTTTCAACTCTTGAATAATTTCACTAGTCTGTCATTCTTAATTCCATCTATGCATTTCTAAAAGACTGAGGTAACTCTCTCATACAGATTCTGGCCACTCAGAACCCTTGCTGTTATTGGTTGCAATTTGCTCATCATTCTTTACTTTTGCTTCCCTCTTTGCACAACTTTTGTTTTATTTCTCAATGCAAACTGAATTTCTCCAAGTTGAAAACATGGCCACCAAAAGTTGCCCACTATTCCCTGCTTTCTAAAACACTTGTTTACATTGTTTCCCATAGTTTCCAAAATAGACTTAATATATTCGTACCTCAATTTTGCTGATAACAACTTTACCCAGAGGACCTGTGGTCAAGTTGGAAGCATAGGTAAACATGCTTCGCCTCCTCACTCAACCACAGAATGAATTACAACTAGACCTGAAAACAAATTAATATCCTGAACTGTCAGAAAATTGAGCTCTGTGGAAGACCGACAACCAAGGATTTAAAGAATCCACATTCTTCCAGACAGGTAGGAGCGGTGGAGGTAGAGTGTGACACGGAGAGGTAGAATGGGTGGTCCCACATTCACATGTGGCAGATAAAAATTGGGAGGGATACCTTGGGAGCCAGTGATTGCAGCCCCAGACCAGACCACATAGTCTGGGTTCCAATACCAGGAAGATAAATCCCTATAACTTCTGGTTGTAAAAACCAGTGAGGGGTTGAGGCGGCAGAAGAAACTGCCAGAAATGCAGGAGACTCTACTTAAAGGGCCCACATGGACAGAGGTTGTACACAAACCCACCTTCGTGGGATTCAGCACCAGGATAACAGCTGGAAGGGCACCAGTCACATATGGGGAGTAAATGAAGTGATTGCAAACAGGGAGAGTGCCAGGCAAACCCCCAGAAGCCAGGCAGCCACATTGTCGCCTCTCTGAGGCCTGTCCACCCTGGTGATTACCTACGGCTCCACTTCATGCAATTTACAGTTGCCTTTTCTACAATAGGCCTGACTACTAAGATGGAGTCAAAGTAGCTTTACCTATTCACAGAAACAAACTCGGGGAGGCTGCCAAAATGAGGAGGCGAAGTATGGCCCAAATGAAAACAGCAAAACCTCAACAAAAGAACTAAAAACGGAGATAACCAACATGTAAGGATGCTCAAAGAATTCACTGACTATGGCAACAGCATAAAAAGGAGCCAGAAAGAAATAAAGTTTACATTAAGAGAAATAAAAATCTACAGGGAACCAACAGTGGAGGGGATGGAGCAGATATTCAAATCAACAATTTGGAATGTAAGGAAGAAACAAGCATTCAACCAGAAGAGCAAGAAGGAAAAAAAACAAGGATACTATAAGGAGCCTCTGGGATATCACCAAATGTACCAACATCCAAATCATAGGGATGCCAGCAGGATAAGAAGAGGAAGAAGACATTGAAAACTTATTTGAAAAATTGAGAATACATCCCTAATTTGGTGAAGGAAATAGACGTGCAACTCCAGGAAGCAAAGAGAGTCCCAAACAAGCTGGACCCAAAGGACCACACTGAGACACATCATAATTAAAATGCCAAAGCTTAAAGATAGAGAGAATCTTAAAAGCAGCAAGAGAAAAGCAGGAAGTTACCTACAAAGGAATTCCCATAAGACTGTCAGCTGATTTCTCAAAAGAAACTTTGCAGGCGAGAAGGAACAGGCAGGAAGTATTTAAAGTAATGAAAAGCAAAGACCTACAACCTGGATCACTCTATCCAGCAAAGCTATCGTTCAGAATGGAAGGGCAGATAAGTGCTTCCCAGACAGGGTAAAGTTAAAGGAGTTCATCTTTACCAAGCCATTATTACATGAAGTGTTAAAGGGACTTATTTAAGAAAAAGATCAAGATCGAAACTATAAGCATTAAAATGCCAACAAATTCGCAACTATCAACTGAATTTAAAAATACCAACTGAGCAAATAACCAGAACAGGAACAGAATCATAGGCATGGAGATCATTTGGAGGGTTGTAGGCTGGGAGACGGAAGGAGGAGGATGGGGGGAAAGTTTAGGGATGAAGACGACTAATTGGTAGGGAGAAAATAGGTAGGGATGTTAAGGAATAGTATAAAAAATGGAGAAGCCAAAGAACTCACATACACGACTCATGGACACGAACTAGGGGGTGATGGCTGGAGGGAATGGAGGTAGCGGGCAGAGAGACGGATGTAAAGGGGGGGAAATTGGGGCAACTGTAATAGCATAATCAATAAAATATTTTTTGAAAGGGGGACCCCAAAACATTTTTATCCAGGGTTACCTGTTTAAGAGTAAATCCAGAACTTTATTTTTAAGTTACACACCTCTTGCCTTTCGCACTGTTTAGAGTTTTATATTGGAAAGGGCAGGCATTATATAATGAGTAAGAATGCAGAATTGGGAATCAGACTGCCCAAGTTTATAATCTGGTTCTTCCATTGTCTAGTGGTGGTTAACTCTCGAGAAATTACTTAATTTTTCTGTCTTAACTTTTCACCTTAAGTGAAGAATGGGCAATAATAGTACCTATTTTTTGGAGTTGTGTTATCTTATTTATTCCATACATGTAAAGTATTTAGAACGGCACTTGGCACCATAGTATATGCAGAAAGGTGTGATACGGGCTAGAGAATTTTTCAGAAAAGAGCTGTGTGTGGGAGTTAGCAGTAAGTTAATGAGGCGGGCCTTTGATTAGCTCTAGAAGAATGTGTATTTAAGCGGGCTAACAGAGTTGGGGGACAACGGAGGTCTATGAGAAAATGATGGGAAAGGAGCTTCAGTAGGAAATTTCAGAGCCAGGAGTTGGCATTCTTTTTTGGGAACTGAAAGAAGCCTGGGTCTGACTGGGCCTAGACTAACAGGGTGGGGCCATGCTGTGGAAGACTTGGAATGCGGGTTGAGGCATTTAGACCTGGCACCTGTTCTGTTAGGTAACTTCATGACGGGGGCGGGGGGGGGGGGCGGTCTTTGTAGGCGTTTGACCTCATAGTGGAGTGCACAGTGCAAACAGTGCGGAGCCCAGAAGGGAGGGTGTGGTGGCTTGTACAATGTTAAGGTTATGGCAGTGATTGAGAGATTGGGTCAATCTGAGAAGCTTTAAAGCAGTTGGTAAATATGGATTTACCTGAAAATAGGAGTGACAAAGAACTTTGGGTGGGTGATGAAACTCTTCCTTAAGACAAGGTGAATGCTAAAGTAGTAATTGGTGTTGAAGGGAATTGATTTAACTGATACTCAATCCTAGAGCATTGGAACCATGGTTAGGACGATTCTTTCCAGACCATTTACTTAATTTGGTAAGAGTCAGGGTTTCAGTGTTCTATTTAAGCTTATGTGATTACCCTCATATGCAAGCTAACTTACAAGGCAAGTAATAGAAAATTTGTTTCACAGTTAAATTACTGCCTTGATTATGTTCCCAAAGCTCTGTGCATGTACTTCAACCCTGACCCTTACCATTCGTTACCATAATTATGGTACTTAAAATCTCCTAAATTCCTTGAGTTTAGTGACCAGGCCTGTGTGTTTGTTCGTGCGTAACCATAATAAATACATTATAAATGTTCGTGGGATGAATGACTTGAGAGTGTGCATGTGTATATGTTTTGGATCATGACATAAATCATACTCGTTCTGACTTATGAACAGCACTGGCTTTTCATTGGAGGTTGTTTTTAGTGGGAATTTATTCATGTGGAGTGTCAGGGGTGCACAAAATTTGACAGTATAGTTCTAATCTATAGCATCCTGTTAGAACATGAGGGATCCCTTCTCCTCTTCTTTCCCAAGCATATGGATGATGTAAGTAGTAACTCTGGTGTCAACTCAGACTGTGATGCTTAGTGGTTACAAAATATTCAACATTCTCCAAAGGAAAATATCAAACCTCAATGAAGCACCTCAAATGATGATAATTTGGCTGTCATTATTCTGCCCCTCTGTGGGCTGCCCCAGTGATATTTTCTGTCTGACCAGCAGCTGACCAGTTTTTAGATAAGGTATTCCCCTCACTGGGTGCTGTTGCAGCATTCTTGAGAGATGTGGCAAATCACATCACCAAACTTTTGTATGTGCCCTGACCTGGGATCCCCCGACCTACAACCTTAGCCTATCAGGATGACACTCTAACCAACCATGCCCAGCCAGGGCTGTTTTTATTTATTCTTGTGTGTGTTTTTTTAAGGTTTTATTTATTTATTTTCAGAGAAAGGGGAAGGGAGGGAGAAAGAGAACGAGGGAAACATCAATGTGTGGTTGCCTCACACACACACCCCCAACGGGAGACCTGGCCCACAACCCAGGCATGTGCCCTGACTGAGAATTGAACCAGCGACCCTTTGGTTCACAGACTGGCATTCAATCCACTGAGCTACACCAGCCAAGGCTATTTATTCTTACGTTTTTAATAATACTCAGTTTCTTCTTGCCTGCCATTTGGTTTTGCTAACTTTGTTTGCTTGTTTGCTTGCTTGCTTTCTTGCTTGCTTTTTTAAAAGACAAGCCTCTTAAGCCAGAAATACTATGTTAAAAATAATCTTTTTCATTCTCAGGGAATGGTATTTCATTAAGTGTTTTTAAATACTGGTTTATAAAAAGTGACTCAGTTTTTTGTTAATGTGTATATATACTTTTTAAAAGCCATCTGGGAATTTTGCCTCAGAATTCTAGAGTTGGATGGAACTTTTTAAAGATACCCATTCTTTGCTTGATTACACAGTTTGGTTGCTGTTGTGGTCTGCTACTAATAAATGATAGGTTTTGGAGTGTCCTGACACTTTGGGAACGGGTCTGTATGTATAGATAATGACTTAGTGTCTGTGCTTGAGGAAAAAAGAGTACCAGTAATTTATTGCTTTATTTTCCATTTTGGCAAAGTACTACTTGTAAAAGAAATCAGAACATTAGTTCAGGGAGTAACCCTGGATCTATTTCTTCAAATCTTTCCTCATTGATAACATTTATCACTATTTTTTGTTTTCTCTACAGACCTCAGCTGTTAAAGAATGCCCTGCAGAGAGCAGTAGAGAGAGGCCAGTTAGAACAAATAACTGGTAAAGGTGCTTCTGGAACATTCCAGGTTAGAGGCCAAAAACGCTTGGTTGTAGTGAAGTGGTTCTCAAAAGCTTTGCTTTCAGGACCTCCTTATGCTCTAAAACTGTATTGAGGACCCCAAGAGCCTTTGTTTATGTGGGTTATACCTATCGGTATTCATTGTTTTAGAAATCTAAGCTGAAGAAAATATTAAACATTTAATTCATTTAAAAATAAACAACAAAAAAACCCGTTACATGTTCAAATAACATTTTTGTGAAAAATAACTATATTTTTTAAATGAAAAGAAGGCCACTGTTTATTACTTTTCTGTAAAAGTCTTTAAAGTCTACCCCAGTAGAAGATTGCTGATACTTGTTTTCAGTATGTTTTAGGTTACATCTGTGAAAAAATTCAACTCAAATAGATTTAAAAGGAGGGAGTATTTTAAAATAATTTTCAAATAGTTGTGGATATTATTCTTTGATACTATACCCAAACTCTTGCTTTTTTATTGAGGTATGATGTATGTACTGTAAAATATACTAATTTAAAATTGAAATTTATAGTTCAGTCATTTTTAGTAAATTACAGAGTTGTACAGCCATCCCTGCAATCCAGTTTTAGAACATTTGCATCACTCAGGAAAGATCCCTTGTGCCCATTTGAAGTCCCCATTCCCATCCCTGCTAATTCCCAATCTACTAATATACTTTCTGTATAAATTTGCCTTTTCTGTATGTTTCGTATCGATAGGATTACACAATATGTGGTCTTTTGTGACTGGTTTCTTTTACTTAGCATACAGTTTCTGAGTTTTATCTTTGTTGCAGCATGAATTAGTACTTTTATTCCTTTTCATTGTAAAATATTCCATTGTATGGATCTAACACATTGTGTTTATCCATTCATGAGCTGATAAACCTTTGGATTACTTCTACCTTTTAGCTATTATAATTAATTTAACTGTTTACATTCAAATCTTTGTGTGGATATATGTCTTTATTTCACTCGGGTATATAACTAGGAGTATAGACTTGCTGGACTGTATAGTAAATTTATGTTTTAAGAAACTGCCAAAGTGGCTGCATCATTTTAGTCTCACCAGCAATGTATAAGGGTTCCAGTTTCTGCATATCTTTGTCAACAGTAGTTAATGTCTCTTTTATTATAGCCGTACTAGTACTTAGAGCATGGAATATCGTGGTTTTGGTTGGCATTTTCATGGTGACTACTAATGTTGACCATTTTTTCATGAGCTTGATGGACATTAGTTTATCTTGTTTAGTGAAAAGTTTATTCAGAATCTTTGCCTATTTTTAATATTGGGTTATTTGTCTTATTGAATTAGAAGAGTTCTGTAACTGTACACAAGTTCCTCATCAGGTTGATGATTTGCATATATTTTCTCCTAGTCTGCGGCCTGTGCTTTCACTTTCTTAATAGTATCTTTTGAAGCGCAAAGGTGTTGATTTTTTTTTTATCCTCACCTGAGGACATTTTTTCATTGCTTTTAGAAAGGAAGGAGGAGAGAGAGAGACATCGATGTGAGAAACATCGATCTGCTGCCTTCTTATATGTACCCCACCTGGGGATTGAACCAGTAACCTGGGTATGTGCCCTGACTGGGAATCAGACTGCAACCTATAGGTCTACTGGACAGTGCTCCAACCAACTGAGCCACACTGGCCAGGGCAAAAGTGTTGGATTTTTTTTTATATATATATATTTTATTTTTAGAGAGAGGGGAAAGAGAGGGAGAGAAACATCAATGTGTGGTCACCTTTCACATGGCCCCCATGGGGGACCTGGCCTGCAACCCAGGCATGTGCCCCAACTGGGAATCGAACCCGTGACCCTTTGGTTCACAGGCCCGTGCTCAATCCACTGAGCTATGCCAGCCAGGGCAAAAGTGTTGAATTTTGGTGAAGTCCAATTTATCATTTTTTTTAACTTACTTGTGCTGTTAGTATCATATTTAATAAATCATTTCCTAATTTAAGGTCACAAAGATTTACTCCTGTGTTTCCTGTTAAGAGTTTTATGGGTTTAGTGCTCACATTTAGGTTTGTGATCAGATTTGAATTAGATTTTGTTTATGATATAGGGTAAGGGTATATAAATTCATATTTTTGCATGGGGCCATCCCATTGTCCTGATGTCATTTGTTGAAAAGACCGCCTTCTCTCTTTGAATTGCCTCGGCACCTTTATCAAAAATCAGTTGACCATAAATGTGTAAGAGTTTATTTCTGGACACTCATTTCTCTTCCACTGGTCTGCATGTAAATTCTTATGCCAGAATCCCATTGTCTTGGCAACTCAAGCTTTGTAGTTAAGTTTGAACTTAGTAAATATAAATTGTCTTTTCCTTTCTCAAAATTATTTTAACTAATCTGGGTCATGTGCATTTCCACATGAATTTTAGGATCCACTTGTCAATTTTTACAAAAAAGTCAGCTGGGATTTTAGGAGAGATTGCAATGAATTTATAGATTATTTAGGGGAGAGTTATTCTTTTTACAACATTGAGTTGTAAAGGGCACCTGTCTCTTCATTTATTTAGATTTTTAACTTCTCTCAGCAATAGTACGTAGTTCTAAGTGTATATGTCTTATATTTCTTCGTTGAATTTTTTCCTAAATATTTCCATGCTGTTGTGAATAGCATTTTCTTATTTTCATTTTCAGGTTGTTCATCAGTAGTCTATAGAAATACAGCTGATTAATCTGTTGCTGTTGTATCTTGAAACTTTCCTGAACTCATTTAGTAGTTCTAGTAGGTTTTTCGTGGGTTCCTTAAGACTCTTGTGGATTCCCTAGGACTTTCCTACATATACAGGATTATGTCACCTGCAAATAAAGACCATTTTACTTCTTTCTTTCCAATCTGGACATCTTTTTTTTTTTTTTCTCCTTCATGTTTGGGTAGAAATTCCAGCACAGTGATGGCAGCAGACATCCTCATTTGTTCAGTCTTTCACCATTCCGTTAGCTGTAGGCTTTTCATATGTGCCTATTACCAGGTTGAGCAAGTTCCCTTCTAAAACGGTTTGCTGGGGGTTTTATTGTGAATGGATGTTCCATTTGTTAGGTATTTTTTCTGTGTTTCTTGAGATAATTATGTGGTTTTAGTTCCTTAATTCTGTTAATATGGTATGTTAATTAATTGATGTTTGTAATTCCAAAGGTTAGTTGACATATGGAACTTGAAATGTCAGTGAACTTCTTAGACTCAGTTACCTTAGAATCTTTTGGTCTGTCTTGAACTTTGAGTGGCTCTTTTAACCATGCACAATTTTGTAATAATCATTTGGAAAATAGTGGTTCACTGAATTATGCAGATTTTTAAAATTTGACACAGTTCATCAGTTACAAAAATCACATTCACTGTTCTGATGACATCACCCACTGATCAAACTCACAGTGGTAGATAAAAGTTTTCCCAATTTGTTTTCTTTTAATAAGTTTAATTTTATCACTGGCAACAAATACTGTTAGTTGTTTTCCTTGAAGTGACAGGCTTGCTTAATTTATTTTCAAGAAGATGTCTACCAGATACCTAAGTCTGAATAACCATAGTTTATCTGTTAGTAGTTCCTTCAAGTAAAAAGGGTATTCCATGAAAAATGCAGCCAGTTCAGCTCACAACTCAAATAATCATGGCTGTTTTGCTTGAGACCATCATCATATATACAGCCTGCATGCTTTATGCCTTCTTCCCATTTCATCTTATAAACTATCAGAGAGACATGCGTTGGGTTTGAGATTTAATAAAATAATTTATACTACTTCATCAGGACTATTCCTAAGTGAAACTAGCTTTTTTTTTTTTTTTAAACCACAAGAGCATAGCTGTAAAGACTATAATACCTACTATGTAGGTTTTGTGCGTCTGCCTTGACGTGTGGTAAGGTAGCAGCAGTTTTATCCATCAACTTCTCCACCATCTGTAGATGTCACCACGGTTGGTGAAAAAGGCAAATCACATCTTAATATTATTAGGAAAATAGTTTTGACTTGCATATCCTTTGAAAGGGTCTCAGGAGCCTTCCCCTGGGTTATGTGGGCCACTTTCTGAGAATCACTGTTGTGAACCATACTGGAGTTTCCTTCCCCCAAACTCTTGCTTATTGGTGTTCAGCTTTGTTTCCTAGCCCTTTGTCCTTGAACTATCCTGTATAATTTTCTATTGTATGATATCCTAAATATTTACCAAGCTTTTCTTTTGCTATTTTCCTATAGGGTTTAAAAAGGCTATTATTTTTATAACTACTCCATTTTTCAGGTTCAAGAAAAGGAAGTATTCTCAAGTAAAAGCATCCTGATTTGTTTGTTTGTTTGTTTATTATAGATTTTGTTTATTTTATTTTTAGAGAGCGGGGGGGAAGGAAAGGAGAAAGAGGATGATAAACATCAATGTGTGGTTGCCTCCCGTGCACCCCATACTGGGGACCTGTCGGCAACCCAGGCACGTGCCCTGACTGGGAATCAAACTAGTGACCCTTTGCTTCGCAGACCCATGCTCAATCCATTGAGCTATACCAGCCAGGCTGCATCCTGATTTATTAGGGGCCTAACAAGTTAACCTGTTCATTGGGGTAGAGCTGTCACTCTCTCTGGGCTAGGTTAGCCATTGCTATTTTAAGTTGGACAAAGGGGTAGATGGAAAGAGAAAATAGTCATAGGAGGGCTGGGACTCCTCAGATAGATTGAATACCTGAGAAGTGGGAAGAGAAAGTCCCTAACCTGACAATTTATTGTAAAACATATCTGTGCTAATGCAGGAACTCCGACCCACCTGGTGCAGAGGAGTCTTGTCTTGACCTGCTTTGGGAGAGTGTTGTCTTGATGCTTTTCTCTTCCTCCTTGGAAAACAGCTGAAGAAATCAGGGGAGAAACCCCTCCTTGGTGGAAGCCTGATGGAATATGCAATCTTGTCCGCCATTGCTGCCATGAATGAACCGAAGACCTGCTCCACCACTGCTCTGAAGAAGTATGTCCTGGAGAACCACCCAGGGACCAATTCTAACTATCAAAGTAAGATTCAAAGTTGTGTGCATTTTACAGAGATTAGAGCATTTGTGGAAAATACCCAGAGATGATGCTACCTATGACAAAAGGACTAGCTGCCGACTGAAAACCAAGAACAACAATTTTATTAATTTAATGCATTTACTAAAAAGAGAAATAGACAAAAGCAAGGCTTATCCTTAATTTACAATGTCTGCTACAGACCAGAATTTGATTTTACTTTGCTGTAAAGATTTTTCTGATATTTTAATTATAACTTAGATAAGTCTCTATGTTCAAAACACCTCTCAAGTCCCTGGCTAGTGTGGCTCAGTGGGCTGAGTGCTGGCCCGCCAACTGAAGGGTTGCGAGTTCAATTCCTGGTTGTGGCACATGCGTGGATTGCAGGCCAGGTCCCCAGTTGGGGGTATATGAAAAACATCTGATGAATGTATCTTTCCCTCCCTCCCTCCCTCCCTTTCTCTCTAAAAATAAATAAAGTATTTAAAGGAAAAAAATTTTAAGCTCCTCTCAAGTATACTGTTTTCTTGCTTATTTCTGAATGTTTACCAAAAATCTCACTTCACCTTGAAGCCAAACCAGTATTTTAAAATATTGCTTAAGTTATTTTCTGATCGACGTAAGCCCTGTAACAGAAAATACTTTTTTCATAAAGTCTGTTTACCCTGTCAGGTGGTAATTTGAGATTAGAAACCTTGCCTTAGCAGCATTATCACATACAGATTAATGAGATTGTGTATTTTCCTCAGTGCACTACTAGAATAGGCCCATTGGTATAGGATAAAGAATATGGGAGTAACGGAAAATGCACACTATAATACAGGGTTTGGCAGAAGTAAGGCCTGCTTGAGTGTGGTTGGTAGGGTAATAATATGGATGTAATAATTTATAGTTTTAATTTGAACATTTCACCTAAAATGTCATATAATGTGCTTGAGTGTGGTATTGTGGTGTTACGGAACTACATGCTTATGCCGTGACTGATGTAGCTCAGTGGATTGAGCATGAGCCTGTGAACCAAAGGGTCACTGGTTCGATTCCCAGTCAGGGCACGTGCCTGGGTTGGAGGCCAGGTCCCCAGTAGAGGGCATGTGAGAGGCAACCACACATTGATGTTTCTCTCCCTGTCTTTCTCCCTCCTATCCCCTCTCTCTAAAAATAAATAAATCTTTTTAAAAAAGAATTTATATGCTTATGATCTTGTAATGAAATATTTTGTAATTATAAAAGGGTGTTGTTTGTGCCTGACCCTATGTATTATTTTAAATAAAAAGGTAATTTTGAAATCTCAGTACTGGCTTTTGACATGTATGCAATGTGTATATTTTAACACTGTGAAGTAATGCTTTCTGATTGTTTTCTTCTTGTATACTTTGAAAACTGGTGTTTTCAATAAACTTTTCTTCCTTACTTAAGATATATACTGTGTTTAATTGACCCTTATAGACTATTTAATGATTTTCTCTTTTTGCCAAGTGTTAGAAGTGTGAAATTGGTTATTAACCTTTTTAGTTTCACTGGTATTGCTGCTCTTTTTTTAGACACAGAATTCCTATAAAACGTATGAAAAGTGAGAATTAGGCCTTTAGGAGTCATGGTATTGTTCTGGTACTCTTCGCTGATTCATGAGAAATTGGTTCTGTTTATCTTTATGGGTAGTCTCCGAGATGATCATCTATTCTTACAGTTACTCAGTAGATGTTTGAATGAATGGAAATAATGGGAGATTTAATCTTAGGTCAGCTGTTAGCCATACATACACAACTGTGGGCTAGTCACTAACCACTCTAGGCTTCTCCTTCCCTTTCTGTGAAATGAGGAATTTAACTCAGTGGGCTCTAAACTCTTTAACCCTAATTTAACTCTTGACAAATTTATGGGCCTTAATAATTGTTTAGTGAATTAGTTAATCCGCTTGACCACAAAGGATTCTCTTAGAACATGTCAATTACTGTATATGACAGGACATTAAATTGATATATAAGTGATTGTGGTTGAGAGAATTACCAAATTTGAATAACTTTCTTCATTTTTTAATATTTTTCAGTGCATTTGCTGAAGAAAACCCTGCAAAAATGCGAAAAGAATGGGTGGATGGAACAGATCTCTGGTAAAGGATTCAGTGGTACCTTCCAGCTCTGTTTTCCCTATTATCCCAGGTAAACAAGCACTTAGCCTGTAGTATGAAGTATTGGTCATTGTAAGTTTAATATCTGATACTAGTTTACAGGCTTGGCTTATTTCACCCATATTGCTATTACACTGACCTGGATACACAAGGTCTGTCCAGAAAGTACCCAGTTTTGTAACAGCAGATAGAGACATCTATTGAAGAAGATAGGAAATGCAAGAAACATTGTACATAGGACAATGGTGCCTCAGTCCCCTTCAAAGTAGATGCCTTGGGACCTCACACAGTTCTCCCAGTCACCATCAGCTGCCCCATTGTATTTTTCTGAATCTCATCAATGGTCTGAAATCTCTCCCCTTTCAAAGATGATTTTAGTTTTAGGAAAGGCCAGAAGTCACAGGGCACCAAATCGGGGTTTTTGGGGTGCTGAGGCACCCGGATGATTTGATGTTTCGCCAACAAATTGCATGAGACGTGATGCGTGAGCAGGCACATTGTCATGAAGAAGCTCTCAAATCACCAGTCGCCCATACCTGCGACCTTCTGAATCATCCAAATAGTTTCCAAAGAGAAATGTTCAACCTTAATGCAAGATTTAATGCAGATTTGTTGCTCTGCTTGTTCAATCATTTTGAATGCAGTGGCCACACATTACAAGTGCTCACTCAATGGTGTCTACTACCCCCACTGACTAGTACAGGGAAGTTGTCGTTCACGCATGTGCATTCCAGTTGATGCTCTTTCACTGTCAGGTTATATCGATACCGCACAAACTGTTCTCGTTATATTAATAATGGCTGTACTTTTTCTGGGCAGACTTTGTACTTGAAAATAAAGACTATTTAAGAGGCAGTATTGTTTTAGAGCAAAATGTTTTCATGTAAGAACAGAGGAATTTTGGCTATCCTGCCAGAGCTTATTGTTAGCCAGATGTTCCTGAAACCAAGAATTGAATTCTTTGAGATCATTGGCCAGTTATTTTGATGTCTGTTCCTTCTTTAATAAATATCTTTAATAATAATAATAAATAAATAATTGGTAATAATAGGAAGATTATAAAAGGATTTTGTGTATATATGTTTTAGGTGTCCCGCACCAAGTAAGAATATTGACTCCTTCCAAGAATCCTCATCTGCCGCCTTCATACTTTAGGGACAGGGACATTACTTGAAAACCCTAATACATACCATATTTATTCATTGAACCAAAAAATATATTGACCACTTCTTATGGGCCACGCATTGTTCTGTGCACCTGTGCTGTAACACACTTTCATTTCTATAGTAATGTCATGACATGTACCACGAAAGCCCTGTTTTAGCAGGAGTAAAGTATAGATTTCTCATTCTTTCTGAGCAAGCCTAGGTGTTACTGCTTGAATGCATATTCTCTGAAATGTTCAGACATTGAACTTTAAGTTAGTTCTTAAAGCCATACATGTGACGTGTCATAAATAAATGATTGAGAGTCAATTCCATTGAATGGAAGGAGGAAAGGAGTGAGGCATGGTCCGGGACTTTCACAGATTTGTCATAATTTTGTGTGTGTTTTCAAAATAGGTTCAATTGTAACCTGGTATTTGTAACCGAAACATGACATCTTTGGAGAAGCTTGGAGGAAATGGGGAATAGTGAGGGAATATGCATCTAGGTTCATGTTATTTCCCTTGTCCTGTACGGCACTTCTCTTTACCCAGTCTGGGTTTTTTTGTTTTGGGGTTTTTTTTTCCCCATAGCCCAGGAGTTTTATTTCCAAAGAAAGAGCCAGATGATTCTCAAGATGAGGATGAAGATGAAGATGACTCATCAGAAGAAGACTCTGAGGATGAAGAGCCTCCACCTAAGAGAAGGTATGGATGTGTGGAAACTCAGGAACTTGCTCAAGTTGTTTAACATTTGAATTTGTCTTGAAAATTTAGAGGCTCTGAACTTAAGAAATGAAGCATGTGAATATGTAGTTTATGCTTTGGTCGAGCCTGTATATTTATCCACAGTTTGGTTATTCAAAAAAAGTCCTGTTTTCTTAAGAAAAACCTCATGAAATGTATATGAATTGGTTGAATTTTATACAATTTTAGTAAGGCCTTTAGTTAAAAAATAATAATAAATTACATTTCTAGGCTTATCACAGTTGACTTCTAAGTAGTCTCTTTTTGGTAAAGTGTTGGGTCATCTTAGCAAAGTGACCTTCTCGGGTGCTGAGTGACCCCCTCTGCTCTCTGGTCCATAGGCTGCAGAAGAAAACCCCGGCCAAGTCGTCATGGAAGGCCGCCCCCGTGAAGCAGCGAGGGTCCAAGCCTGGGCCCAAAGTCCCAGCTGCCCAGCGGGGGAAGGCGAGGCCCCTGCCCAAGAAAGCCTCTCCCAAGGCCAAAACTCCTGCCAAGAAAGCCAAACCCTCACCCTCAGTCATCAAGAAGCCCAGTGGTGGCTCTTCAAAGAAGCCTGTGGCCAGTGTGAGAAAGGAGGTGAAGTTGCCTGGCAAGGGCAAATCCACCGTGAAGAAATCTTTCAAAGCAAAAAAGTAAATTTTATAGGAAAAAAGGGTATTGTGATGAAATTTAAAATCTTATTTTCTAAGGTCGGTGTGCATTTGTTTTAGTTTTGATGCTTTTAAAATTACATTTTTCCCTCCCCTCTAAACTTGTGAGGAGGGAATAGAAATAAACCAGTTTAGGTATTTGTTAGCTTTAGGCGCTGTCTTTGGTGCCTGCCCCTTCCCGCTATCATTTTAATTTCTGCAATAATTCTGGACTTCCTGAACTGTATAACCTACACCTGTCCTTTTTCGCCCTCCACCCAACCCCCCCCCTTTTTTTTTTTCCAGTCCCTTCCAGCTTTATCTAAACAGTTGCAAAGATTTTTATATTTGTAGAAAGCATCAAGAACAGAATGCTGGTCAGGTGCTGAAAGTGAAAAGAAGGCATATAGCACTGACTGAATTATAAAGCCTTCTACCTGGAGACTCCAGCTATAGCTATAATAATTAATCTTATTTATAAAACCACTCCACTAAACCTTTTTCTCTCTCACTATAAACACAGAGATGTCTTAGCTTTGGGAATAAGCCAAAAATATTACGGTTTAATTAGATTCTGAAGATGCACGACTCCTTTGGGCCACTTTTCACATCGATCATTTCCAGGTACCCTGCTCTGGCCCAGGGCGTTCCACTCCCTCACCGGCGAGCACGAGTCCTCTCCACCATTGGTGTCTGACTGAAGAGGAAATACGAGAATATTGAATTTGTGATTTATGGTGTCACCTGTGTTAGCAAAACTCAAAACATAAAATCTTGATCAAATGTTTAAATATATTTTTAATATTGGAAGCATGAATTCTCACTTCTCGTTTGTCTTTTTTTATAAGGAAATGTTGGAGAGTTACATCATTGCTAATGTGGAAATGTTAAGTGGAAAAACAAACACTTTGCAAAATAAACTAGATTCCAGATCCATCCGTGGGTTCTTTTCCCCTCCTTCCTTTCCTCAGCACTTTTAATATCAAGCAAGTGGCTTCCTTTTTGAGACTTTTTTTTTTTTTTTTTTAATGAAATGAAGCCCAACTACCTAACCTCTTATTTGTTTTGTTTTAGTATTGTGAAGTTGTGTTAAATAGTACTGGCTTTCTACTTGAGAAATACTGATTTTGGTTACCATTTATCCTCCCCATGGCACTTGACATTTTAATTGTCTTAAACTTTTTGGTGTACATCTTCTGGCCCGCGTGCTGCCAGAAGCAAAAACGGTTTGTTTCATTCATTCCACTTGCGTTGTCTCCCGGGATCCCGTCTGCAGCCTGAAGTCTGGCTGGGAAATGGACTTGAGAAGGTTGGCTTGATCAGACTCATAATTATGTGTGATCCCATCATGAGTTAATTGGAATTTGTGTCGCATGTAAGGCAATCTTTCCTGTTGTAAATCTTCCTTTTTTTATGTACATATATTTTGAAAAATATGAATAAACATGAAATTTTAAAAGCTGCTGAACTGTAGGTTACATTTAAGTTTCTAGTATATTCTCAGAAGTAGCTAAGTGTTACTCTCACTTTGAATCTGTCCCACTTGTAATAGCCACCATCCATTTCCTTTTTAAATACAAGCTCTTGTTTATGTGCTGCTTACATGGATGGTGGTAAATGATTTTTCTAGATAACATTGAATTGGTTAGTGAATACGAAGTTTAAAAAAATCATTTTGTATTTTAATAAGATCCTTGCCTTCCATATCATAGATTCCAGTCTTCCATGCTTAATTTCAGCTGTATCCTTATCCTAGAAGAATACATCACTTGAGACCTAAATCTAGAAACTAATTCTACTGTCTCTTACACACTTTGGCAGGTAATAAATAATTCTAATAATATGGGTGTTTGGTACCTATGCTAAGAATTCTCTGCTCTCCTGGAATCACAAGTAGGATTTTGGTTGGTTTCTCTGTTTTATGATGCTGCTTTTTTAAAAGTTTTTTTTTTTTTTTTTTTTAGAGAGGGGGAAGGGGAGGAGGGATGGAGGGAAATATCAATGTGTGGTTGCCTGGCCCAAAACCTAGGCATGTGCCCTGACTGGGAATCGAACCGGCAACCCCTTGGTTTGTAGTCCTGCACTCAATCCCCTGAGCCACACCATCCAGGGTTTATGATGCTGCTTTTAAAAAGATGTTGGGAATAGGTCACCTGGTGGCTACATTGTCCATCAAGTGCTTTAGTGCAGGGTGAGAAGTTTAGATTATTTAAGGTCCCTTCCAACTCACATTCTGTTAACTTCACAAAGTTCCGGTGAGAACAAACTGTCCTGCTTAAGCATTATGTACAGAGAAGGGACAAGAGGGCCAATGCACTCTTCCAATGAAAGCCGGTTGTCAAATATGTGTACATTAATTCACTTATGCCAAGATAAAGAAATGTTTGGGTTTTTCCCCCTCCAGGCATTCTAAAGGAGCAGAACACATAATTTTTACTTTCCTTTTACAGAAAGGAGACAGAAAACCCAACAGATAATCCCAGCAATTTCTAGCATGGATCAGTCGTTTCGGTGCTCTCCATAGTGGTTTAGTGAACTCAATTACAGGGTTTGATAAACTCTTACACCACCCACAAACCATCTTAGATGAACGCGTCTCAGAAAGTGCTGGGAGAGAGATCATCAGCTTCTTAACCTACAAGATGGAGAAAAGGGGGTAATTTGTAGAAAACATGGAGACCTTTCCTTATGTCTGTTGGGTATAATTAAGAAGAGTACGCGAACACAGAAGCTAGGTAATACATTAATACTTTCGACAATTTTTTCCATCATTTCTCTAACAAAATTTTGTCAACCCTAGTCTGGGTTTGCTAACCTATTCTTATACTCTCTTATACCTCCTTTAGAAACCCTACATAATTATTTTGCTTGGGTTCAGATCTGATACAGCAGAAGAGGTTAAGCCAGACATATTCATGAACTTCTGTATGTAACCAACTAAGAGAAACTTTAAAAATTTAGGGATATAGTACTTACAATTACTCATTTTTAAAGGCTGAAAAATCATATTAATTTCTCTTTGGGCTAAATAACTCAAAGTTTATCCATGAGAGAAGAGAAATTCTGTTCCTAATTAGGAAAAGACCATCATTAACTAACAATGCCTTAGGGGTTCTAATAGACATTATTTCCCAGCATGCAGAGTTGCTTTTGCCTTTTCGAGGTAGGACAGGTGGTCACTCAGTTCTATAGAGCTGAAGTTAAGTAACCAGACTGTCAGAGACCTTGGCTTAAGAACTACTTGACAGCCCTGGCTGGTGTAGCTCAGTGGATTGAACTCGGGCTGTGAACCAAAGCATCGCAGGTTCGATTCCCAGTCAGGGCACATGCCTGGGTTGCAGGCCACGTCCCCAGTGGGGGCCACATGAGAGGCAACCACACATGGATGTTTCTCTCTCTCCCTCCCTTCCCCTCTCTACAAATAAATAAATAAATCTTTTTAAAAAATTAAAAAGGAACTACTTGACAAAAATGGGCTTGGAAGTCATCAGAGATCGATAAACAGTATTTCTCCTGGCAGTGAGTTTCCTTTATGAAGAAATTAGTCTCAACTACCTTTATTGCTGTATTTTTCCCTTCTGACTATCATTTTCCCCACAGTTCTTAACTTCAGTGGCCCTTTTTTTTCTTTTTTTTTTTTTTTGGAGAAATTTCTACCTTTGATTATTTAATTAGTTTTTTTTTTTTAGTAAGGCAGCATTTTTTAAAGATTCTATTTATTTTTAGAGGGGAGAAAGGAAGAAAGAGGAGAGAAACATTGATCGGTTGCCACTCTTGAACATGACAACTGGGGACCGGGCCCACAACCCAGGCATGGGCTCTAACTGGTCATAGAACTGGCGACCTTTCACTTTGTAGGAAAAGCTCAGCCAACTGAGCCACAGTGGTCAGAGCTAAACTTAATAGTTTTAACTGTCCCTAATTTGTTTTGTTGGTAGCTGGTATGTCGCCCTGGTTGAGTAGCTCAGTTAGAGCATCTTCCTGATGATACGCCAGAGTTGTAGGTTTGATCCCCAGCTGGGGTACATGTAGGAGCCAACCAGTGAATGCGTTACTAAGTGGAACAACAAATCAATGTTTCTCCCTTCCTCCCTCTACAATCAGTAAATAATTTTTTTAAAAAATAGCTAGTACATCAAAAGCTTCAAAAGGTATCTTCTCAGGCCATTTCAAAAATTGCAACTGTTGATAGTGTGTGTAAATGTATAATTAATTACTTGCTATTAAGTCTTTCAGTAAAGAGAACTTTACGGTGCCTTGACTATGTCTGGTAAAGTGTAGTTGAAAGTTTGTATTACTTGAGTAATAGCAGTGATAGTACCAGCTAGCCCCGGGTTTCTTCTACATGTCAGGCTCTGTGTTTATGTTAATTACCTGGTTTAATCCAAGCACCCGTATGAGATGGCCATTGTTTATTATACACGGAAGGGGAAATGGGCACAGATGGAGGTTCAGAAACTTGCTCCGGGTTGTAGTAAGGATAAAACCAGGGGCTGACTGACTGCAGAGCCATCTCCAGTGATCTGCTCGACTATTTCCCCTTGGCGGTCTTTCAGGCTTCTGAATTCTCTCCTTATCCTACAGTCAGTGACTCTGTGTTCTGTTCGTGGGAAAGAAAGGACTTCTGTGAGATTGCGGAGGATTTGGAGATGAGAGGAAATTATTAAGTTTGCTAATAGGAGTCAGAATGGTTTTTTCTTTTTGATTTAATCTTTATTGTATTTTTTCCATTACCATTTAGTCCCCTTATACCCTCCTCCCACCCCAGCAACCACCACACCGTCATCCATGTCAGTGAGTCCTTTTTCTTCAGTCCCTCCACCCCCTGGCCCCACCCCACTGGCTGTCATCCCGCTCTCCATTTAGGAGTCCGTCTCTGTTTTGCTTGTTAGTTCAGTTCGCTAGATTCCACATCTGTGTGAAATCATATGGTACCGGTCTTTCTCTGATGGGCTTATTTCACTTAGCGTCATGTTCTCCAGGTCCATCCATACTGTTGCAAAGGGTGAAGTTTTCTTTAATGCTGGGTAAGTATTCCATTGTGTAAGTGTTACATAGCCGTTTTATCCACTCACCTATTGATGGACACTTGGGCTGCTTCCATTATCCTGGTGGTTGTAAATAACACTGCAGTGAACAGAGGGTGCTTATGTTCTTTCAAATTAGTGTTTTGGGTTCCTTTGGGTATATTCCCAGAAGTGGGGACTCTGGGTCAAAAGGCAGGTCCATTTTTAATCTTCCGCGGTATCTTCACATTGCTTTCCACGGTGTCCGCACCAGTGTGCATCCCACCAGCAGTGCCGGAGGCTGCCCCTTTCTCCACATCCTCGCCAGGGCTTGTTGATGATAGCCATTCTGACAGGTGTGAGGTGATACCTCACTGTGGTTTTAATGTGCATTTCTCTGATGATCAGTGACATCGAGCATCTTTTCGTATGTCTGTTGGTCATCTGGCTTTTTGTTTTAAGAGGCTTGGTAAGAACCATTAGAATTAGATCCTGGGTTACTAGGCTGCCCTAAGTTTTTCGGGGGACTCTGCACAAGTCCTCAGTCATTCACACCACCTAGCCGGGAGCACTTGCTGGCTTCCTCTCGTTTCACTCACCACACACCAATTCTCTGAATGCACGGGACTCTGGTGCTTGGGTGAGCTTTCCCTCCAGAGGCTGCAACTTCTGTTGGAACTTTTACATTGCTAAGTGAACGGCTTCCTTACTCCTGTAACCTGGGAACTCGTGGTTGGTGAGGCCTACCAAGAGACATTTCGCAATGTGACTGTCTGACAACTGAATTTTTTGGACGTGAAACCTGTTTAGTAATCATGAGTTGGAATATTAGAAATCCTTGCTCGTATACTCACAATGCTGAAAGAAACCTTACTCATCCAGTCTCCCCTGTCTTTGCTTTGTTCAATGCCAAAGGATACTTTTCCCTAAAACCCAGAGTTACACAACATCCTTACTCATCCACTCTACTGATTAAGCACTCCGAGGAAGTTCTCCTTATGTCCCACCTAAATCCTTTATGTTACTTATTCATTTAATTTAAACTTGTTGATATTGCGTATAGAATAAAGGTTTTGTCAATTCCAAATTGAGATTGAATCCTGGTTTGAATACATCACTCCGGCCAGTATTCTGTCTATACCTGTGGTCCCATGCAGTGATCCTTGGAGGCTTACCAACTGCGTGACCTTAACCCAAGCCTTTTATTTTTTTTATAGAGACTGTAAGGGAGGGAGAAAGAGAGAGAAACATCAATGTGTGGTTGCCTGTCATGTGGCCCCCACTGGGGACCTGCCCGCAACCCAGGCATGTGCCCTGACTGGGAATTGAACCTGCGATGCTTTGGTTTGCAGCCCATGCTCAATCCACTGAGCTACGCCAGCCAGGGCAACCCAAGCCTTTTTTTTTTTTAAGGTTTTTTTTTGTTTGTCGTTTTTTTAGATTTTATTTATTTATTTTTAGA